CTGTCCAAAATGGCCGCCGCAAGCTTTGGAGCGCACCGGGGAGCTGCCGGCAGTTCGGAGATCTTAGTAGAGCCTCCGTTCTAAATTTAGACCACCGACAGCGAACTCAGAGGGATCCCTACCTGCCTACTTGCCCCCAGAGCTCGCCAGCAGCCGCTGACGAACCTCCTGGTGGTGCCTCAACCGCAGTGGTCTTGGAAGGCAGCCATGCTCCGAGCACCTGTTCTACACTTCAATTAGGAATAAACTTTCCTCCAGTGATTTTTAAAGGAATCCTAACACTATATGCTAAACACAAAAATAAGAAAAAAGACTACACTAACTGCTTGGAGAGTCCAATTTGCTGTTCAAGGACTGGAACTCCCCAACTGCATCCTTTTAGGGTGACTGGGTTTTTAAAACTGTGCCTCTGTGGGGAACAGGAGGCGTGGCTACACAAAGATTTGAACTCAGTCCTTGGGAAGCAAGCTGAAGTTAACCCATGCTTGGACACTCCAAGCAGCGCCTAGGAGAAAAAAAAGAATTCCATTGCCAATCCAAAGAATTACATTGCCAATCCAAAATGTTAATAATATAGATTAAATCAGTTACACAAGAGGGCATTTTGGAAGGATTTGATACAACCCTTATTTCTAGATAAGCATTTAATTTAAATTTTAAAATCTAATCCTGATAATTTTAAAAATAAGTGACAATATTTTCCTTTGATATTGTTATTGTGAATTGTCTAGCAAACCTATCAGCTTTTTTCCTAGAGATAATTTTAGAGAGCTTCTAGAGACTACAGCACATCTTAATAGATCTTGATTCAGGAAATAAGTCAACTAGAAGTAGATTCCAAATCTCCATCACTGTTTAGAAATTTAAATGTCTGCATTCTGACCAGCACTGGAAAGCAACCAATTATTTTATCCTCCCCCTACCCTTGAGAAAATGAGATTAACTTGAAGACATAGTAGGGGAGAAACCTGCACAAGTCAAGAGGTTCTTTTCCAGATAACTGTTGTTTTTTCTAAAAAATGAGAAACTGTAAAGGATGTCCATGTAAGAAAGAACTAAGGGAGGAAATGACATCACAATAGACATGCTATCATTATAGTTTCAAACAGATTCTATGGGAATTGCTACTCTCTAGAGCCTTGAAGTCTTCGTGTTCCTTTTCAAGATGCACTTATTCCCTTATTATTGTGAGCATCATTATCATTTTTATAAATGTCATTTATAGCTTATTATAACTTAAAAACATTAAGGTAGATTAATAAATGCACTTCTTTAAAAAAGAATGTATGAGGTTAGTGAGAGAACTTTTACTTCTTTTTCTCTTGCTTCATTTCTACTGATTTGCATGAAGAAGTAAAAATATCCAAGCGTTTAGATAAAAGGACTAAAGCAAGTTTAGTTTAAGTATTTTTAAAAAAATAGAAGCAAAGACATGGAATATATTTCAAGAAGCATCATCTATTTATGTCTATTATTCCATTCTAGAAAATATAGCTGGGTCTCATCCCTTCCATAGCCTTTATTTTTGAAATGGGTATGAGATATAACACTCCCTATACAATATAATAATGAATAGGAATAGCTCTGCGTAAAATAACAACACCTTAGATTCTTGGGAAGAACTCAATGTGTATGAAGGCCAATCCCAGCTAGGAAATTGGCAGCGGTGATTTCATATTTTTATGTATTTAATAATAGTGTTCTTCTTCTTCATCATCATCATCATCATCATCATCATCATCATCATCATCTATTCTAAACATCTGGCTGACTGTGTGACCAACCATAACTCCTTTTTTTGAATTCTTAAGTGTTGGCAGGAATTCAAATCATTTACAAAGATCCAAAGTAGCTTGGATTCTATTGAAATAGCTTGGAACATGGAGCAGTTACCCTGATTATTTCTGGACGAATTGATAAAATGAACAATTCTAGAAGCTAACAGAGAAGTTTACTTGTTGAAAACTAGTTTTCTCGGATGACTAGGCAGTGTGGTTTGCTTAAATTAGTTCTTACTTTATTAGAAAGTGATGTTTAAGGTCTGAGATGTCGAAATACTGAGATAAGACAAGCATGCAACGTTCCAGTCTCCCAACTGCTCCCCGCCCCAACTTGGATCTAATCAGGTATGCTAGAGATCTCTGAAACAAGAATGTCTGCTGGGCAGCAAGATGTTACACTAATTATCTTTCTTCAAGTGACAGAGTGAGTGACATCAAGTAGGGTGCTTTCTTTTTTTGGAGATTTGTTGTTGTTGTTAAACAACCTAGTTATTTATAACCTGTCCCTCGGTTGTAGGGTTTCTTTGTTCATTTTGCCTTTTTTCCAATGTGAACATTGATTTTATCACTTCGATCAATATAATTTTACGATCTTTTATTAAATGTATCTGTTGTGAGTAGACAATTTGGTATTAGTGCCTCCCAGGCTTTAGAAATATATCTATCAATTTGTATTCAAGAGATAAGAGATATGTGCAGACACTGCCATGCATTGCATCTAAGTATGGATTATGTGTTCATCTTTATTAATATTCTTAATTCTTACTATATATTTTCCTCTGATTATCTGGAAATCCTCTCTGAAGGAGAAGGAGAATGTTTCACAACTGTTCTTATTCATTCCTCCTCCATATAACATTTTCTTTTGTTTGTTTATTGATCAAATTTAAAATCTGACTATCTCCCTCACAAGGGGATCTGGACAGTAAACAGATAACATATCAAAACCTACAAATAGTATATCAAATTTACAAGGCAAGTAGTAACATTACTTTTCCCTTTACAGTGCCTACCACAGCAGAGACAATAACTCCATCCACAGAGCTATTCAGAACAACTGTATCTACCACAAGCACTACCCCACACAAAATTCCTGTTAGCACAACTATGGCTGCAGGAACAAAAGAAGATAGTAGAGGCCCCAAGTCACCACCAGCAGTTTCTACAACCAAAATTCCTCCCGTTACAAGTTTTTTCCCTCTGCCTGAGAGATTCTGTGAACCAGATGTGGCCCGGGGGATTAGCTGGCCTCAGACTCAAAGGGGAATAATGGTGGAACGTCCCTGCCCCAAAGGAACCCGTGGTAAGTTTTTAAAAACAAATCAGATGTTTGACAAAATCTGTCTTGAACTCCCTTTTTTATCCTTGCTGACTACTCTTAAGCTATATTTCATTTGATTTTTCTTTCTTAGGAGAATATGACATCTTCAGGTTTTAAGCTATAGAGGGCATTGAAGCCTAGAAATGTACTTATGGTCCTTTTTCTGTTTTCAGATTTATTTATATTCCACCTATAAAATTATTATTTTATAAATAACTCAAGGCAGCAAACATACCTAATACTTCTTCCAATTTTCCCCATAACAACAACTTTGTAAGGTGTGTTTAGCAGAAACACAGTCAGTTACAAAACTTTCTCACATCTTTCCCATGAACTCTGTTTTGATTAATTCCAGGACAAAGAAGACAGCGGGCATTCATTTTTTAATTCATTTTCCGGGAACCCAATATTATTAGCACAGCTTTAGTTTGCTATTAGTATCCTGTATTTTTTTAAATCTCATCCTCAGCTAGCATTTTTTTTATCATTAAAAGTTGAACATATATTAAACCTTAGTCCGTTTTTTTCAGGTTACAAAGATGTATGGAAGATTTAAAAAGGGAAAAGAAAAGTTCATAACTATATAAACAAGTTTGGTTTCTTTTTGGGTATCTTTTATAGGAACAGCTTCATACCTCTGCATGATTTCCACAGGAACATGGAACCCTAAGGGTCCTGATCTTAGCAACTGTACTTCACACTGGGTAAACCAGCTGGCTCAGAAGGTGGGTTGGAATAATATATTAATATGATAGCATGCCTAATCTGAGAATTTGTAGATGAATGTTTAGTTCATCACAGGTGTTAGGAATAATGAGAATTGCATTGCTGTCAGGATACACCTTGGATTCTATCTGGGGTTATCAGATCTAGGATGCAAAGTTTCCACCAGCCACTAGATGGAAAGAAATGGTTAGGCTTTCTGGATTCCTATTGGAATCCAGTGGTTCTTCTTTGGACTTTCTCAGAACAGATCTGATATCATTAGGTCCACCCATAATCATTCTTGCTTTTATAGATGATGTGTAAAGGTCATATTTAATTGGACGGTTAATTGTTATGACACAAGTCCCTGAAGAGACACAGTTTTATGTTCTTCATGTGCCTAGGAAGAAAAAGATGTACATGATTTGATTTGTTTTATAGTTTTTACATCCTATCCCAATCCTCAAATTCTGGCCCCGCATGAAAATAAATAAAATAAAAATATCTATACCAACCCATGCACAGAGGTTGTCTTTCACATTCATATCTCTAGGGCTCTTCAAAGCATTGCTCAAATCAAATATTTATTATGGTCAAGTCCAGCATACTAAAGCAATGTTACAAATACTTCCACAAACCATCTTCCCTTATTGATTCAAACCCTCGGGTATCTAGCAGAAATATTCAATCCTACTGAAAAAAATCTTTTTTTTTAAGACATTCAAATAGAAATATGTCTTATAAGTTCTTGGAGTGAATGATGTATTTTCCATACAAATTAGGGTGAAATGTGATAATTTAGGTCAAGTCTGGGAATTGGAATATTTGCCTAGGGTTTGAAATTTCTTTCTTGAATTTTACTGAATACTTGAGTATATACTTACCCACAAGAATGATCCTGTTTTAATATATTATTTTTTTGTCACTATTAGTATTTAGGTATTGTTTTAAATCACAACTTAAGAAAGCATTTTGATTGTATCTGGTCTTAGAACTAAAATTAAAATAAAAGTTGAAATTATGCTGGGGTGTTTGTTTTTTTTGTGTTTGTGCTCATAAAAACAACCAAAACAAGAGACAGGTTAATAGATTCTTCCCATTAAGAACAAGCACAAAAAAATCTATAGATAGTGGACTTTTTTCTGTTTGGTTGCTTAAGTTAGTTTGCCTTTCAATTGCCATTTCAGATCAGAAGTGGAGAAAATGCTGCTAACCTTGCCAATGAATTGGCTAAACACACCAAAGGACCAATTTTTGCTGGTGATGTGAGTTCATCAGTCAGACTGATGGAACAGTTGGTAGACATCCTTGATGCTCAGCTGCAAGATTTGAAGCCCAATGAGAAGGACTCTGCAGGGCGGAGTTACAACAAGGTAGATAAAGATTGAATCAGATTCCTCAAGTGTATTCTAAAACATGTTTGCCTTGCAATTTGTTTGTTTCCAGAAATGCCGAGTGTCTGCTTGTTTTTCTCTTGAAGTAGGGAAGGTGTAGGAATTTAAGAGCAAAAGTAACAAATCTAGATAGGTGTGTGGATGTTGAAGTTATAGCACATTTTCACAAGCAACAAATTGTTTCACTGTAAAAGAGTAAGAAGACAATTTGCCCCACTGGGCAGTTTTATTCATTTTATCTTTATAACATTGGGTGGAGGAAAGTTGGGAAGAAGACATTTCTTCTTTGCTATAATCATTTGGTCTCGGTCCCTTCATAATATGAATTAGGACCCTAGAAATATTTGAATATACCAAGGAGTTGATTAACCCATAATTTATTAAAACCTCCCTTTCATTAGGCTTCCTAAAAACAGCACATTGATTGAGAATAATTAAACACACTATGATTATTATATCAGCAAAAATATTTTTAAAGTTTACACGTAAGTGGTCAACAATCATTAAATAGTAGCATTTCTACTGCAATTTTTGTGTCTAACCTCTGATTTTCTTTCCCCCCGACTTACTAACAAGCTCCAAAAGCGAGAGAAGACATGCAGGGCTTACCTTAAGGTATCTCTCCTGTCACCTTGCTTTCTCCCTGCTGCTACGTTTCTGCTCTTGCTGCATGATCCTTTGTATTTCAGTATTTGGATAATATGTATATTGTATCCCTCCACAGCCCCTGTGCAGAGTGTTATGTTTGCACAGATTCCATTTCTGAGAGTAAGCCAATAATAGAATAAGCCAATAATCAATAGTTCATTTCTTCCGTACTCTGTGTAAAAAAATACAAGGATGGGAAAGGGGATTAAACTAAATCCAAGATAGCAGTAGGTTTGTTTCCTCAATACTTTGCTTTGAACCCAGATGTTTTATATATGTAGTTCTGCATATCACACACTGTTTAATTGTAGCAAGCAAAACCCACAAATGGATGCCCTTCACGTACCCATTTGCTTCACTAGACCTTATGGAGCAAGAATGTCACATGACTCCCACCTTGTCTTTCTGCACTAACACCTTTTTTTATCTTTCTAGTGTACTATTGAATTCAAAACAATAACTATTTGTCTGATTTATACACATTTTCCCATAACAACCGCTATTGTTACAGGAAAATCATCCTGTTTTCTAGAGCAATAAAATAATTCAGAACTTAAATACAGGTATTCTTGACTTGCAACCACAATTGGGAGCGGACATTCTATTGTTAAGTTGTTATGTCAAGTCAAGGAGGACCTGATTTCCCAACAATTTTTACCACTGTCAGTAGCAAATATATGGTTGTTAAGTGAATCCTGCTTTCCCAATAGTTTTTTTTTGCCAGAAATTGGCAAAAAAAAAAAAGGTTACAAATTGCAGAATGCTGCAGCCAGTCATAAATGCAAAGTAGTTGCCAAGCACCTTAATTGCAGTCACGTAACTTGCATAGGTCATAATTCACTTTTCCAAAGGCCGTCGTAACTTTGAACCACTGTAAAATTAATGATAGTAAATCCAGGACTACCTGTATCCGGCAGTGAACATTCTTGTTCATGCCAATATCTACACATCATACCTCTGACTGATGGTATTTTGGGGGTGGAAAAACAGCATGGCAGTTTTAATTATAGAATTTCCAATTAGTATTACAAAAAGAAATGCAAGTTTAAATTGAATCTGCCTATAATAGAGCAAAGGCATTTTTTATGAAACTGTTAAGTTATTACAATCGTAACCCTCCAAATTGCTTAAGAATAATTATACTGTTCAAGATTAATTCACTTTCTGCCCCATTTCCACTAAATCTATAAATCCATTACTCTCAAAAGGGACAGCTGAACATTATTAGTATTACATCTCCAGCAGTGCTAACTTTGTTTAGACTTACTCAGGTTAAATTGATGCAGGTTCCTGGGGATTGAAGAAAAGCAGGCCTGGATTAATGTGAATCTTAATTCACTTTAACCCAGGTTATAGGTAAGGCATAGACATGAATAGAAACACAATGGGAATGTAAGAAACATACAAGTCCCAGCTGGTCTTCCCTTCCACTGCTGGAAGAAATACAGTTTTAGAGTTATTTATACCTTTAGCATTTAAATTTGAAAGGAGATTAGTTCCTTTAACTTAAAGTACATTCTGATCATAAGTAGGAGTATAAGATATTTGATCTTAAACTAACAGAATGTGTAGGTATATTGGGAATGGAGCTTGCATGGGCTTCCTTGTTTTTTCCACATTTTAGCTATAATTGCCTATAATTACCGACATTATATATATCAGGCTATAATAGTTGATATTATTAAAGCCAATAGTGATTGTTACATTTCAAAAAAGATCACTGGATTAGAGTAGATCACTATGAAATTGCTTAGTCACTGAAAAGCTACTTCTTTGTAGGTCGATATTCTTCCCCCCCCCTTATTTTATATTCAGTGTTGGTAAAGATTGAAACTTAACAACAGGAAAAAGTGAGCAAGGGAAACAAGTCAATTCTTAACCAATTTATGATTCAGCTTTCTTAACTGGAGATACTTAATGTATTTGGTCTAGTGGTTAAAGCACTGGACTAGTAGTGGGAACAAGTAGAATTCTAGTTCTACCTTAGGCGCAGGTGTCAGCCGGGTGACAATTACTGTTTGTCAATTATTCTTCTCTAGAGAGAAGGCAATGGCAAATCAATTCCAAAAAAATGTTAATTGCTGCATGGACTTGTCTATGACTGACTTTAAAAAAGGCCAAAAAAAAAAGAGGAATAGGAAACTAAGTGAAAAGTGCAGTTTACTTTAAAAGATAAATTTCATGGTCAAATCTAAAGTGTGACCATATTTGTAACTGCAGTGACTGTGGATTTGGGAGGCATCGATAATTCTCATTGATTTCTATGAACAAAATTAATCTCCATCTTAACTCCCCAGAAATCAAAAGGGTCTCAAAAATGCTGAGGCTTATAACAATTGTGATCTTAGGAATTATTCTGCCCCTTTCCCACACATGCACTTCCAGCTTCTGACAAGTGTGGTTACAGAGCTGACTATTTTCATACCACTGGAGAAAAACAGCAAATCAGATGACATCAAAAATGAAGAATCAGGCAAGAGGGTTTAAAACAGACATACCCATACATAAGTGCCTATGACACATAGCATGTGTCACCAATGAGTCCTAAGTGCACCACAACCTCAGTTCCTGACTGGGATCGTTTTAGTAGGTCACAAATCGATAAGATTCACAAAATCTCCCCAAATTACTAATCAGAATCCGGCTACTGCTATGCAAATAAGGCAAGTTCTCACTCCTTGGCAGAGGATTCACTTGTAGTTCAGATCAAAGGCTCCAATTCATATTTCTCGGTGATTAATGAATCCGGCCTCTACAGACCAATTTCTGTTCAACGCTCTGCAATGGTTGAAGTGGTATCAGTGTGTGCAGTTGACTCTTCTGCTTCTCATTAGAGAAAAGAAGAAGAAAATCCTTTCATATCAGTCAAAACTATCTTCCACCTGCCATTGGGGAGACTCACCATGCAACCATAAAGAGGATATTAAAATGGATTAGGCTAATTAATTTTACTCCAGACAATAGCCCATACTGCTTTCCCTATCCATTCAGACACAGAGCACAAAGTTCTGGGCCTGACATTGTTTTTGTTCATGTAGTGCAGCCTGCTCTCATTTCCATCATTTTTGAAACTGATCAACCACATTATGTGTGCGCTTAATGATATATGTAAACTAGGTAAATGAGACAAAATAAGCATGATGGCTCAGCAGTGCAGAGCCTACTCAGTTGTGGGACTACATTAGCCATTAATTTAAGAGCTTCCCTTCAATTGATTTGTCAGTGGATGTGATTTTATTTATTATTATTTTGCCATGGGAATGTACAGACTGCTATAAGATGCTTACATCCTCGCTTTGCCAACAGGAATCCACATTTACTGCTGTTTCATTCTGCTCTTCATAGGAGTTACAGACAAATTAAAAATCCCTAATCCTAACGTATTTCCCATTATATGCAAACTAGGACTGTAGGCAGGGCTTTCCAAACAAGACAGATTTGAAGCCATTTTTAAATGATAGCCAAAGCTACGAGATAGCAGTCTAGTATTCTAAAGAAACTGAGAAAATATTATTCTCTTAGTATCATTCCTATTCTGGTTTGTTAAACCATGAATTGATCATCAGAGTCCAGTCAGTGTTTTCACTTTGGATCCTTCCCACACATTTAATTTTATATTATTCTATGATTGCTTATTTATTTGGTTGGGCAGTTAGTTTATATCATGCTTGTAGTCACCAGAAGCTCAATTTTTCTCTCACGTTTTTCCTTAAACAATAACCCCATAGAGTAGATTGGATTAAATGAGGATGATAGGCCTAAAATCAACCCCATAAGGCTGAAATTTAAGCATGAATGTCCCCAATCATAATCCAACACCTTGGCTATATATTAGGCTGGCTGTCATACGTTTCATACACATATGGCTACATTTATGGTATTAAGCCAATATCTAACATTCTTCAGTTCCCAATTACTTGAAAAACTCCTGCAGATTCATGCATGCCTCAAAGCTCCTTG